CGCCATGAAATCAAAGAATAAGAAGACTTCCGGTGCCACACAGTTGTACTTCCGGTGTTAGTATCCACGTGTGGTAAACAAGCATATGTCTCCGTGCGGCTGCAAGCATGGACTTTTCAGTCAAGTGGGATAAATTACCTAAAGGTCCGAGTCTGAAGAATCTGACAGACGGAGGGTTTGGAGACCTGAAGCCACAACAACATGCTGCTGTTCAGGATTTAACCAGAGCTCACATCGAGTCCTTTGACCAGGCTGTCACCGGCGGACTCAACAGCGTTGTGCAGGTCAGCTTAACTTTATTTACACTGACTTTAGAAATAATATAACATATTACGCTTTAAAAGCCATTAGTGTACAGAGCATACAACGGCTTGTCTCAAAGCTTACCTTGGATAAGAGTCGTGTAAGCCACGTTAACTTTATAAAGTGAGCAGTCTATGAAGGAACATGACTTTTAGCTGCCTTTGCTAATGTGTTTAGAAGACTTGTCTACTTATGTGCAGTTTAATTCTTCTGTTTCAGTCTTAACAGATATCAAGGACATTCTGACTGTATAGCTATAATTGTTAAAGTTAAAAACCTTTAGAAAGAAAAGTAAAATACTTTTATTATAAAGTGACTAACTTAATGAGCAACCCTGAGTCTCAACTGACTGACTGAGGACATTGGTTTACTTGTCTGCAAGGTGCTACAGGAAATAAAAGGTTTCTACAGGACACTACAGAACCCAATACTCTACTGTCACTAAAAAGTCAAATGATTTGAAATTATATCGACTGTCAGTCATTACATCATTTCTGAGTTCAACAGTAGTATCTTCCCTCTACTGAACCATCAACGATTAATACTTTAGAGAGACTACACTAAAATCTTTGGTTCCACAGTAGAAACTAAATGCAACAAACGTGACTACACCTGTGATCACTGAAACAACATCAAATCCATTTGTGATTTCCAATGAGCCTAACTGCATGAATGTGTTTATAAAATGAGCTGTGGACAACAGAGCTTTCTCAGTTTTGCATGTCTGCATCATGGCTTCACATGGACAAGGATTACCAGAGGAAAGATCTTATTGTGAGACTTAGCAAAGCTTGAAAAGATACAGGGAGATCAGTGACCAACTAAAAATCAGTGGAAAGGCAGTTGCAGGAGTAATTTAGGAGGTATAGAATGAGCAACAGTAACACTAATTACAGCTGCAGTGGCTGTACTTCTACAATGACTCCACAGACAGTGTACTACTTTCACAATCTACCTCTCCAGGCTGGTGTTTCAGACTTGGCACAAAGGCTGTCAGTGGAAGTCAGTATTCAAAGTATCAGTTCTCCAAGAAAACACCTTTGCTTGCTATTAGGCACAAAATTGCAAAATTAAGCTTTGACAAGGGACTTAATTAAAAGCCTGCTGAATACTGGGTTTAGTCAGATGAGACTGAGATAAATAAATTCCCCTCAGATGAGGTCCAGTATGTTTGCCCTGAACATAACTAGAACTATCACAGTGAATTCATAGTCCTGACAGTGAAGCACAGAGGTGGCAGTGAGATGATGTGGGGCTGAAAGAGTGTAAAACCTGTTGGAGAGGTGACATTTATAGATACACCATGGATGCCTGTGGATATACCAAAATACTGGTTGAGAAAATGACTCCCAGTGTACTGAAGCTGGGCAGTAGAGGAATATTACAATATGATGGTCTTTTAAAGCACACTGCAAAAATCACAAAAGACTTTCTACAGAAGAAAAAGGTGAAAACTATGACAAGTATGACACTTGACTTCAATTTAGTAGAACACATCCAAGGTATTTTAAAGAGACACAAACACAAAGAACCACTGAAAAAAAATGTTTCTAAGCTATGAACAAACTTATCTCCAGAAATCTGTGCAACACTGCTGTCCTGCATGCTCAGCAGGTTTGACTCAGTCTTCAAAAATACGTGTGGACATATGAAGTATTGATTACTTTATTTTGTTGCTTTGAGATCCAGCTATGGGATCTGTATTTTTAATGTTTAACTTAGAAGTAATGCATTATTGTCAGGTGATGCGATGTTGAATCATCTGATGTTTATTTCGTTATATTGCACAGGGATGTACTTACTTCTGGTGTAAACTGTAACTTTGCCTGCGGTTGCCTTCTTTGTTGCTCTGTACCTAAACAGACCATTTGCATAATAACATGGGACTAGCTGAATTAAATTAAGTACCATTAGTTTTAATGTGATTAGTTACACCTGCACTTTTCCTGCTAAGGCAACTCTGTGTCATCCTGTTGCATCCTGTCGCTTTTCTCCTGCAGCAAACCTTATTTTGTAAATTTTCTCACGTCTATGTAATGTGATGTGTTTCTCAGGCCATCCCTCCCCTGGAGTTCACATTCAGAAATGACAGGATCAGCCTTGCATTTGTTGATGCCACCATGTACAACCCAGTGGTGGCCAAAGGGAGCATCTGCAAGGACATAAAGGTGTTCCCCGCAGAGTGCCGAGGAAGAAGATGTTCCTACAAAGGAAAGCTAGTGGTAAGGCTGACTTATACACACATTTTCCAGCAGCAAAAACAACAGGAATCTTGTTAATTCTTTCAATTTACTGATGACTCCCACTTTAATAATGCAGCGGGAAAACTGCATCTAAGGTGGATAATAACACATGATGAAGTTCTTTAATGGAGGAGTGTTGTGTCATCTCAGGCAGACGTCAGCTGGTCGGTTAATGGAATTCCCAAAGGCATCATCAAGCAGTCCTTGGGTCAGGTGCCAATCATGGTGAAGTCCCAGCTGTGTAACCTGCATGGCATGTCCCCGAAAGAACTTGTGGAACATCATGAAGAAGCAGAGGTAGGATTTGATAATTACACAAATAAACTGAGCAGGAATTTATAAAATGCATCCTTATTAATGAATATAGCACAAACTCTGATGACTTAAACAGGAAATGGGAGGTTATTTCATCGTGAATGGAATCGAGAAGGTGATCCGTATGCTGATTATGCCAAGGAGGAACTATCCCATCGCCATGTCCAGACCTAAGTGGAAGAGCAGGGGTCAGGGATACACTCAGTATGGTAAATATAACTTCAGACAACAAGCACAGTCACCGTGTAATAATCCTAACCTGCACAATCAGAGCTACTTGTCCTTAAAACAGATGCCATCTTGTGTTTCCTCTCACAGGTATTTCCATGCGCTGCGTGAAGGAAGAGCACACAGCCATCAACATGAACCTTCATTATCTGGAAAACGGCACTGTGATGCTGAACTTCATCTACCAGAAAGAGCTCTTCTTCCTGCCACTAGGCTTTGCACTGAAGGTATTAATCAGAGTTGATGTAGTTTTTAATGAACAAGCCTTTATTACAGAGCAGATTGGGACAAATACAATAAAACCCCTTTTAGACATGAGATGCATCACATTGCTGCTTCATCAATCTGTTAAAGTGACGGCATCCTGTCGTTCAGACATAAGTCACTCTTATGTTAATGTGTCTCACGGCTTCATTCCCACATACCCACCACAGTGATGAGTCTCGATACGGAGGTTATTATTTGTCATAGATGTGACATTAGACAGAACATCCAGTGATGTATAATAGATAACAATGCAACAATAAACAAAATACTAAACCTAAACTAACAGCAAGCTTATCAAACTGTCCAAATTTCTTACAGCGCAGTTTGTTTCTGATTTTCTAAACACTAAAGTTCTTTAAGTCCAACTACTGCTTTACCAATAGTAAAATAAAAATATTCTGACAGCTGTGATGGAGCTCAGGACTCAACCTGAGGATGGCTGCTATGGAACAAATGATTTAACTGATGCTTATAAACTGTGACTTTATGTGTGACGTCTCACTTGTCTGAGGTGAAGCAAAGTACACAGTGTGACCTACTGTTAGAGCCTGACTTGGATTTATCCTGTCTCCACTATAATAGACATTTATTTGTATTTAATGAAGTTACTGTTCACAAATGCACACATTTCTCTTGGTTTTGAGATGCTCATATGAATTCTGCTGCTGTCTGAAGCTGCAGGTATTAAATTAACTTAGAGGAAAAACAGCTTGAAGCAACAAACTAAACTTGAGCTCCTGTTACATTCAGTGTCAGTGAGTGTCTCAATACATTTGAAATTGTAGAGTAAAGTGAAGGCGTTTTGTGATTTTGGCACTTTAACTGTCTTTTGTTCTCTGGGATGTTTTTGGACCAATATCGATACTGAATATTAAAAAAGCTAGTTGCTTCACACAACTCAAAGTACCTCGAAGTGATACAGAAATGTTCATAGTTCTGACCGAGTAAGATCACGACTAATACCAAAAAGTGACCAGTGTGTGCATTCAGACATGAAGCAATTGCATTTAGTTGTCAGATTAATGTAAAAAAAGTAAACGTCTGAAAGGGAGTTAAGTAGCAAATATAAACTCCTCTCATGTCACATGATTTGTTTATACAGCTGATTTTCTCTCGTGTTCTTCAGGCCCTGGTGGACTTCACAGACTTCCAGATCTACCAGGAGCTGATCAAAGGCCGCGAGGACAATTCTTTCTACAAGACGTGTGTGTCTGAGATGCTGCGCATTGTCATGGAGGAGGGCTGCACCACCCGCATCAAGGTGCTCGATTACCTCGGAGAGCGCTTCAGGGTTAAGATGAACCTTCCTGAGTGGTACACCAACGAACAGTGTGCCAACTTCCTGCTAGAGTAAGCTCATATGACAGATTCAAATTCCAGCTTTTGAAATCACAATCTGATGAAGACAACATAATTCTCTGTATTGCGTTTTGTTTGATGTTTATTCAAATGACTTGCGTTCTGTTTTAATCAGTGAGTGCATCTGCATCCATCTGAAGTCTCCCGTGGAGAAGTTCTACCTGCTGTGTCTAATGACCAGGAAGCTTTTCACATTTGCCAAGCAGGAGTGCATGGAAGAAAACCCTGACAGCATTACGTGTCAGGAGGTGCTGACTCCTGGCCAGCTCTACCTCATGTTTCTCAAGGCAAGTTTTTAAATTAAATATTTGAGCTCTGACCAGTTTATGTCCCTTGTTTTACTCTGCTGCTGTGCAGAACGAACAACCATGATGTTTTAAAGCCAGAAATATTAACACTTCTTAACACTATTAACGGCACCATGCGTGACATTCAGAAAAACTACTTTATTTCTAAATATAGGAATGGCCAACAGTTTCGAAGGGAGGGGCTCGCATGCAGCACCATGCGCTAATATGCATGCACAGTCAGACCCTCTGCCAAAATGTAGCACAAAGATGCTCAGATTACAACACTCACAGAGAGTTTGACCTCATTCTCTGCCATAAATATCATGACTCCACTACGTCTTTACAGAGCAGATTGTTGCTGCTTCATTAATGTTCAAAATCTTGTATTGCACCTTAAAATTAGCAGTGCATTTAAACTGTTTTACCAAATCCCAACAGCAACAATATTATAGTCACGCTTTTGCACTTTTCTTGAAGAGAACATCGCTTCTTGACTAAAAACTTGATTCTCTGTGGAGATATCCTTTGCACTAAATTAAAATAACACACACACTAAATCTAACATTCGCTTAAAATCTTAAATCATCGATGATTTAACCACTAAAATATTTTCACAGGAGAAACTGACTGCGTGGTTGGTGACTGTGAAGTTGGCCTTTGACAAACGAGGCAGTAAACTGGCGGCAGGATGTACAACTGAAAATATGATGAAGATGTTCAACATGGGCTCAGATCTGACGAAACCTTTTGAATATCTGCTCGCCACTGGGAACCTCCACTCCAAGACGGGTATGGCCACATGAGCTGGCTATGATTACATGTAATGGTTTAAAAAAAAAAAAAAAAAGGGCTCTCCATTAAAATAGAATGTGTTCCCTCTTTGCACAGGTCTTGGCATGCTGCAGAACACAGGCCTGTGTGTTGTAGCAGACAAGCTGAACTTCATCCGATACCTGTCCCACTTCCGCTGTGTGCACAGAGGAGCAGCTTTCGCCAAGATGAGGACCACTTCTGTTCGTAAGCTGCTGCCCGAGTCCTGGGGCTTCCTGTGTCCTGTCCACACTCCAGACGGAGAGCCTTGTGGACTCATGAACCACATGACAGCCAGCTGTGAAATTGTGGCACCAAGCTTGTCCACCATAACCCTGCCTGCTCTGCTCTGCTCTCTTGGTGAGCGCTAACTTCTGACACATTTTGAAGTGCATGCCAGTGAGTTGAAGTGTGCTGTATAAAATATTTTGTGTCTCTGGTGTCTAAGGTGTTACTCCAGTGGATGGAACTCCCGGCCAGGCCTTCTCTGACTGCTACCCTGTGGTCCTGGATGGAGCTGTTGTCGGCTGGGTGGAGATGGACTTAGCTCCAGCTGTGGCAGACTCACTGCGCAGGTTCAAGGTAAGTTAATTAAAGGTGGACATGTTTATATCAAGGCCAGTACTGATTAATAGTGATTAAAATGACAGAAATAATTTTTGGATCCCATATACATTTATTGTTTAAAGGAAAATGATAATAATAACACAAACTCTAACACAAAACCTGATTGAAACGCCTTTGTTTATTTATGTTTTACATATTTTTAAGTCATAGAGGACTTTACAACATTTGTCCTGCAGTGTTAATTGGCTTTGGGTTGGACACTTCTTAAGGCCACAGAGTGGTGACTACAGACAGAGGCAGCTGCATCCGAAACAAAGTAGCACATTTTTGCATTAATTTATTTTCGAATCAGTTTTTTAAAGTGACAATACTGATGATGTAACCATGCGAATATTTGTGCAGAAAACTGATGTCTAAAACAAATACCTGCAGGTGTTAAGAGAAAAGAAGATCCCTCCTTGGACAGAGATTGTTCTGGTTCCAAAAACAGGCAAAGCCAGCTTGTATCCCGGCCTCTACCTCTTCACAACACCGTGCCGCATGATGCGTCCTGTACAAAACTTAGCTCTTGGTAAGCAAGAGTTGATTGGCGCCTTTGAACAGGTATGTGTTGAACTATGATTTTAAAAGGCGATGTAGCATTTATGCGACTTGTATTCAAAGCACACGATGGGGATTTTTCTCTAATCATCTTTTGTTTCTACAGCTTTACATCAATGTGGGAATCTTTGAGGGTGAGATTGAGCCAGGAGTAACCACACACCAGGAGCTCTTCCCTCACAGTATGCTCAGTGTGGTGGCCAACTTCATCCCTTACTCAGACCACAACCAGAGTCCCAGGAACATGTACCAGTGTCAGATGGGTGAGTCAGAAGCCACTGTGACAAATCTGGCACACTGCACACGTGTGAACACTTTGGAGATTAGAATATCTACCTCACATCCACCTACTGCAAACTCTACAAATGTGCAATATCATCAATGACCATGCTGTGCAATATTTTTCTAAATTCATACAGTACATATAACTTATACTGTATACTGTATATGTAACTTATCTTATTTTATACTTAAATCTCTTCTATTTTTTATTTTTTTGCTCTTTATTTTGTACTTTATTCTATATTACACTGAAGAAGCTGCTCTTAATCTCATTGTACATGTGTATAGTGACAATAATGGCATTCTATTCTATTCTATTTGAATCATTTTGTTGCCATTTTGAGTTTCTGGCCAATATTTGTCTTGTAGAGACATGAAGAGAATATATTTGTTCCCTTTGCAGGTAAGCAGACGATGGGTTTCCCCTTGCACTCGTTTACGGACCGCTCAGATAACAAGCTGTACCGACTCCAGACCCCACAGAGCCCCCTGGTCAGGCCCTACATGTACGACCACTACAACCTGGACAACTACCCCAGCGGCACCAACGCCGTTGTGGCCGTCATATCCTACACAGGCTACGACATGGAAGATGCCATGGTGAGTATGAAATATTAGGTTGCTTTGATTCGTCTGATGGGAATGAAACCTAAACACACTTTGATCTTACTAGATTGTAAACAAGTCATCCTGGGAGAGAGGCTTCGCCCATGGAAGCATCTACAAGACTGAGCTGGTGGACCTGGCAGACAAGGCGAGGGGAGAAGATGGCGTAGTGTTTGGGACCAAACCGGGCGACCCGAAAGTAAATGACAGACTGGATGCTGATGGACTCCCTTATATTGGATCAACACTGAAGTATGGAGACCCCTTCTACAGCTATATCAACCTCAACACAGGCCAGTCCTTTGTCAACTTCTACAAGTAAGTGTCAACATGAGTGTAGTTTTGTCTTGTGAAATTCTGAAATTAAGACTTTATGTTCATCTACATGTCAAATGCTGTAATACCAATGCTGATCAAGTTAAGCAGTCGATTAAATGTGCATCTTAACATGTTTTTTTCTCTTCTGTTTGTAGGAGCCAGGAGGCCTGTGTCGTTGATAATATAAAGATCTGCAGCAACGACGCTGGCTCAGGCCAGTTTAAACGCGTCTGCATCACTGTACGAGTGCCGCGAAACCCCACCATTGGTGACAAGTTTGCCAGCCGTCACGGTCAGAAGGGCATCCTGAGCCGCCTGTGGCCAGCAGAGGACATGCCCTTCACAGAGAGTGGCATGATGCCGGACATCCTGTTCAATCCCCACGGCTTCCCTTCTCGTATGACAATCGGGATGCTTATAGAGAGCATGGCCGGTAAGTCCGGCGCCCTGCACGGCCTGAGCCACGACGCCACACCCTTCACCTTCTCTGAGGAGAACTCTGCACTCGAGTACTTCGGTGAAATGCTTCGGGCAGGCGGCTACAACTACTACGGCACAGAGCGGCTCTACAGTGGACTGAGCGGCCTGGAGCTGGAGGCGGACATCTTCATCGGCGTCGTCTACTACCAGCGGCTTCGTCACATGGTCTCTGACAAATTTCAAGTGAGGACGACCGGAGCGCGAGACAAGGTGACCAACCAGCCTGTGGGAGGAAGGAACATCCAGGGAGGAATCCGTTTTGGGGAGATGGAGCGAGATGCCCTGCTGGCTCACGGCTCCTCATTCTTGCTTCACGATCGCCTCTTCAACTGCTCGGACCGGTCAGTGGCTCAGGTGTGTGTTGACTGTGGCAGCCTTCTTTCCCCTCTGTTGGAGAAACCGCCACCGTACTGGTCGGCCACTCGCCACCGCGAGACTGTCTGCACACTGTGTGGCAAAAGTGACTCTATTGACTCAGTGTCTGTTCCCTATGTCTTCCGCTACTTCATAGCGGAGCTTGCAGCGATGAACATCAAAGTCAAACTAGATGTGAAGTGAACTTTGCAGGAAAGACAAGATGCCTGAAGTGTGTTTGAATGAGTCTGAGTAAGGCTGCTAAAATTAGCAACAGAAGACAAATCCACCGTGTTGTTCAAGAGTTTTTATTATTAGCCAAGGTTTTGTAAAAATGAACAAGTATGAGCATATTATGGAATGAATCAATTAAAGTACAGTCAGTCTGAGTGTTGAGTGACTGTGATATCATCAGACTGGTGCTTCAAGTAGCGTTTTACTGAAGTGGAAGTAGCTTTAATGACAATATTCAATGTATGTGGTTTTATGTAAAATAAGAATCTGAAGCGTAACTATACTTGTAGAATAAAAAGATTTATTTTTAAAATGCAGTGGAATATAAAGAAGCTGAAATTATGAATATTCAAGTAAAGTACAAATCTCAAAATTGTACTGACATGCAGTCCCTCAGTAAATGTAAACGTTCCCACCACTGTGTGTCTTCACAGTTCATACCCTGAGCGACCGTGAGTGTCCTCACATGAAGGCCGAGCAGAAATCAGTAAGAAAAAGTGTTGAATGTCAGGAAAATAGTTGCAACAGTTATAAGGCACCGTCCCCTTTTAAATAAACTGCAAAAAATAAAATAAAAATTTTTAATCTATCCATAATTAAAAATTCCCATAACACCCCCCTTGAACTGACAGTCTATCCCCATATGACCTTACTGTAGTTGTGCCAGAACACCTGGCAGGTCCAGCACAGTCGGGATAGTGTAGTCTGGTTTCACTGAACCATCTGACACAGTCCCTTCTGCGCTGTTAATCCAAACGGTGGCTCGTACTCTGGCATTAAAGCCCCCCTGAATATCTGTGTCCAGAGAGTCTCCCACCATAACGCAGTCCTGAGCCTCCACCTCCAGCATGTTGAAGCACAACGTGAAGATGGAGACAAATGGTTTCTGCTCTGCGTGCTCTCCACCTATCACGATGGCATCGAAGAACTCCTCACACCGGACTGCCTGCACCTTCTCTCTCTGGGTCTGAGTGTCCCCGTTGGTCAGCAGCAGCAGCTTGTGTCTGCTGCGCAGTTGCTTCAAAAGATTGCACACTTCAGGAGAGAGAGAGAGGATCTCCAGGCGGCTATTTTTCCACAGGTAGTAGCACTGAGCTGCCAGAGAAGGTGGAGAGCAACTACCCAGAGCCTCCTTGATGCTTTCCTCCCAGTGACGCACACGGACGTCATCTATGGATCGGCCAGCTGAAGGGTCAAAGCTCTCAAGGAAAAGCTTCTTCTTGAACTTGTTACAAATGCTGCAGATGGTGTCGTCATCAAGGCCCAGAGTGGTCTTCAGAAGTTCACTGGTCTGTAAGATTCACACACAGCAGATAACCTTGTAAATGTAAAACGGTCATTGTGTTTCCAGTTCTTCAGAAGCAGACTGCAAGAGATCAGCCGCAAGATAGTGAGTCAGTAGAGGGAGAAGCACAATCAAACGTTCCTAAAGGACACTAATTTTGGTGAGTTTCAACAACCTGGTACTTTGTGTAAATATAAAATTTTGGTATGTTAAATTATCTTTAAAAAAAAAAAAAAAAAGTTCACCTTTTCAGTTACTTTCATTTTCGTAGTAGCCGATTGGCTTTAGTTTGGCTGAAGCTGCCCCTTGGTATCATTGTGTTCATAATTCTCACGACATATCTACAAAGTATTTCATTTTGCCATTTCTATGCTGACTGCTGAGATGGACTGTAGGCTTGAAGTGCATTTCTTCTTCTAGACACACATTTAGTTGTGATGCTGCTTAATTAATTTGTGGCCTATAAAAGTCAGCCATCACAGCATTTGATCTGTTGCTATGTTTTATGATCATGTGTCCTCGGCTGACTGCTGTTGATGCAAAGCAGAAAAAAACAGGCCAGTGTGTAACCACAGACTGTAAGAAATGTCTTATGAAGGAGTCCATGTGTGGGACAAATGGGTCAGCTGGGGATTTGATGGTGACTGACATCATTTAATTCCTCCTGTTTCTTTAATCACTCCCAGACACATTTAGTTTTATTACAGGACATCCTGTTTGCTTGTCAACTATGAAAGAAGTCAGTCAGGTATCACCAGTCAGAAATATGCTAGAGCACTGGAAAGTGCATTAAAATCATTGCAATCATTTGAAATCTATCTCCAAACTCTACCCCTGATAATATTTTCTTTAGGGACTAAAGGCCAGTGCATGAACAACTGGGCTACATTCTTATTTTTGTAATTATATATATATTTTTTCCAAGTAACAGATTCCTCTCCCTTCAGACTGATATTTATCTATTCGGGTATTTAACCCACTGAGAAAAGCAACACACGGTTTTAATTTTTTTAGCTGAGAGTCATCAGGTTAACAGTGGCGATTTTGAACATGCGAAGCCTCTGACCCCTCCCGGCCCCCGTACTACTGCCACTCAGCCAATCAGGAAGCCGCGTGTCTGTTCATAACATCGACTTCTATCAAAACTGTCGCTTAGCGTCGACATTTAATCAGCCCGATTCAAATACATTAAATTACAGATTTCATGTGGTTGTTAGAAGCAGGCTAGCAGTCGTCTACCGTCTTTAAATTGAGCACTTCGATCTGGTAAATCTTCCAAACAGTCTACTGAAGATAACTTTAGTACAACACGAACAATATCCAGGTGTCATCACCTTCTGTATGGCCACTGCTCCTGCTCGTCTCGTCTCGATGAGCGTGTTGTCCAGGTCGAACAGTATCGCCTTCACAGCTCTTCCGTCCATAGCCACACACCGCTGTCATTCTACTGGAACAGCAGGAGACTTTGCGGAAGTGCTGCCAGGTTTGCTGCATGATGGGAGTTGTAGTTCTAATAAGGTACCAAGCACGCGACATGACTTTTATCCTCGCGATGGCGCCATTTCATCAAGATACGAATAGATATTTTGCCAACAAGTGAATTAGAGTCTCCGTTCGTTTTCTGCACTAATTTCAGATGCACCACTTATTAGAAATGAATACATTAAATTACACCTAAAGGTTTTGTGTGTCACTTATATAAAGTTAAAGGCAATGCTATAAATGCACCAATGTTTTTTTTTCTTTTAATGATTTAGGATATATTTACATACATATTTATTTATAACAAATGTGACAGCGAATTTAAACGCAATTAAACTGTCTTAAATCTAACACCTATTGGGGATTTCCAGCAACACTAAATATAAACTCAACATTATTGTTTAAAAGGTTAAAGTGGAGCAGCTCGGTTGACTCTAATATTATTCTGTTTTTCAGACTGCATGCAGTATTTTTCACTGGCTTTTGGTACCTACACTATGGCTGGAGTCTGCTGCAGCAAAGGTATTTCTACAAAAGTGATGACAATCAAACTGAATGTAATCTCTTATGTTAACAAATGCTCTGTGTGACTCTTGACCAGTGTTGGGGTCATCAGCCTATTTAGAAAAGGGAATATATTACACATTACTTGTTACTTACTAGGACATAAATGCCTTACTTTGTTTATTTAAATTTCTGCAGAAAGTAATTACTTTTTTCTAAACATTCAACCTTACAGATGCCATGTCTTTTATACTACCACAAAGCATTTGAACAGTGGGGGTGTATGTGTCTACCCCAGAAAATTTGGATCATCAAACACTTTACCTGCATGCTGGTGAGTTTTTACGCACCAATTTGTGCTTTTCTGCATGAATTTGTAGTGGAAATGTCTTTATTTATGTAATGGAAACCAAAATTCTGGTGAGAGTTGGCAATTCCAAATGGAACAGACGTAACAATGAGCTCATAATTCTCATTTTGATTGTATAAAAATGGCGGAGAATGGAGCACTGAATATTATTGGCACATCCTGAGCTCTACGTGACAGTGCTGAATAAAAAAGACCCACCCCTTTCTGAGGCATTGTTTGTGCCAATTAGTAATATTAAAGCGTTTTTCAAAATTAAAGTCTTTTGATCCTTTCATGTTTTTATTGGGGGCCAAGCGTGAGTGTTGACAGTGTTGAGGGGGATGTATCCCCTCCATCCCCCTACAAATCTGCAAAGTTAGTAAAAATCAGAACATACAGCACTTCAGCTGCATGTCTAAGAGAATCAAGGCGGCACTGGCAGGAAGTCAAAATAAAAGCAGTAACTGATAAGTAACTGTAATGTGATTACTAAATTTAGGCGCAGTAATGTTTTAGGCTACCACATTACAGCCAAGTGTAATGTGATTACAGTAATGTGTTTCATTTGCAATGCCTTACCTTCAACACTGCTCTTGACCACGCATCGCCTTAATGTAAACTCATATTCCACGATAAACATTCTTTCAAAATAAAAACATGCTCAGTTGTTATGCAACCCGTCCTTTAACTCAGCCTCTCTTCTGGCAGCGTGCCAGAGGTTCACACGCAACTGTGTGCAGGCCTGTTGCACTACTGTTCCAAACCCAATCAGAAATCACAACAATCCTTTCTCACACTACCTTAGAGCGTTCTGGTTGCGGCTCAGGTGCTTGTGTCTTTAAGAGAGACTTGGCCTAATTATTTCAATTACCTTTGGAAAAAAAAAGCCAAAGATAAACTATAAATCAAGAAACAGTGTGAGAGAGCTAACCTGATATTATCTATCAGAACAAACAACACCTGCTGCTTGCATGCGAAGGGTATGCTTGTTTAAATGACAGACGTGCAGCAAATGAGCTCATTTTTATTACCCGTAACTTTAAAAAGGGAAGCGAAACATAAACAGTGCATGTGCGAAGAGCAAACTTCTACAAGTGTAAAGATGGAATTTCCCCTCTCATGTGGAGGGGGGGTGAAAAAGGAGACATATTACTTCCCCAGCAGTTCATGTGGGACTCTTCCAAGACAGTGCAGCATGTGAAGGACCGGTGAGGCCTGGTGTCTGTCTTTGCCTCCACGACACCATTCCTCTTTTATCTGTGTGGGTGGCCCTGGCTGCTCAGTCACACGCTATCTCTCAGCTGGGCATGAATCCCCTGCAAAGGCCAATTACTAAAGGCGTCACTTCTCGAGACACCTCCTAACCTCCTCATAGCTGGAGTGCAACACTTAAGTATATTTGACCTGTTTTATTTTTCCACTGCTTTAAAGATTTTACATTCACCCATAATGTGCTCTTGACCCTCTGTTGTTAGATTTGGGGGCAATCATCTCTGTGAGTGTGTATGTGTTTGTCACGTCTGCTCCCCTTTCATGACTAATTCGGGGTCAGGCCAGGATTGGACCAGTGTAAGCCGTGGGGACAGGTGAGTCTTTAGGCCATCAGAGAAAGGAGGTTATTACTTGGGATTCAGAGGATTTGGCTGCTCCTCCTCATGATTAATGGCAGAGAATAATGCCTGGAATTTTATTGGCTCGTCCTTCGTCCTACGTGACAACAGACATGTAAAAGCGCTGTGCAGGTCAAAAGATATGCGGATTCCCTCTCACAGATGTCGTTCATTTGTGTCACCCTTAACCAGGTGACACCAATTTCATTATCCACCATCAATGGACCACTCTGAATATTTGAACATTCTTCAGTACTCAGAGATTTGGATCAAATATGCTCACGACGCTGCTGCGATAGAAAATACAGCGATAACTAGAACTCAGCCGTCCTTTCTTTACCTGGCCTCTGATATAGAGACAACCTCGCGGCCACACACACACACACACTCACACACACACACACACACACACACACACACACACACACGTAGATGTGAGATTTTATCGAGGGCAGGGGAATGTATGAACTACAGTCTAAATAGAGAAACACTGGTGTGCCTAATGGCACTTGTCATGGCAACAGGGGGAGTCTGGCAACTTGCACGTACACACAAACAAAAACAACATGATCTGGGGCAGGATGGTGCCTCTTCAGGCGGTTATGCAATGCTCTCCGTGATCAAGGAGCGATATGCTTTTCTGCAACGCTTATGTAAATTGTGCATTAGGGGCCTAAAGGAGTCTCTTGCCCATAAACATCAGTGTCATAAGTATTTTGCTTCTGCACTTGTGCCAAAAGGTGGCTCCTCTGTGAGTCTAAAATGATGCCCATCAACAGAAAGTGGTGCATTTTTTTTAAGTTTGAATGTACTGCATGAGTGTTCCAGCTTATGAGAAGACAGGACCTCCCATAGTTGTTTGGCAAGTTGCCAGTCCTTCCAGTAGCCCCCTTCTCTGTGCTGATACACCTGAGTTCTCCTGACCGGCCACTGAACCAGCACAGCAGCAGGGAGGGAGGCAAACTATGTGTGGTCACTGGAGGATAACACTGAAAGTCTGGACCCTGGAAGACCAGCCCTTTCTAATCCAGTCCTGGCTGGGATGCAGTCAGTTTGCAGATTGTATCATACAGATGTAACTTTCAATATCCAGAGGATGCAACTGTTGAGTCTAAATGCAGAATGGAAGCAGCGTTAGATGACTAGAACAGCTGTGCACAGCAGCAGCCAGTCAGCTGTGCGTGAATACAACAGCCCTCTCCAAAATAACAAAACAGCTCATTTTCAACCAGCCTCCATGCTACAACAGCATGCAAGAATTCCTGAAATTCAGTTATGGCTCTTGCTTTTTGTTTGTCACTTTTTCGTGGACCCATCTGGATAACCGCATGAAAGGTTTTTGAAGGTTCCACTGTCACTTTCACTCACAAGTGATAGGCCACAAATATGTAAAATTGCAAGAGGACAGTTGGATACATTGTTTTGTAATTCATAAAAGTATCTTCCATCCTTCCTTAATAGCTATTTAGATAATAGCTGCCCAAATATACAGCAGCATGGAGGCTGAGATATCTCTACTCCAAAACAAACTGAGTCCTTCAATGTCCATCATGCAAATTCACTGGACCTCCTTGCTTCCCTCTTCCAGTCCAATGTGTCCAATTTGTAATCAAATTTTTTTTAAAAAAAAAACCAAAAAGGAAACTTTTTAGTTCTAAGTTTGCTGAAGTGACAAATACGATTTTATCAGGGTATATTAGCTATAAAAAAGCAAATAAATAAGAATATAAATTAAGCAAAATTGTTATTTTTTACAAGATTTTCTACTATGTTGCTTTCATAACATGCATTCTTTACTAGTGCAAATTAAACATTCAAAAATACACATTACAGTTGTTTTTTAAAAAAACTTTAGCAGTATTTTTATGTAAATTAGTGCACATTAAACAGTATTAATAATTCATTTGCATATCTAAATGCAATTCTTAAACTTGCAGTACAACAAATAATTGCCTTAATTTAAGCAATCAACTGGGGAAGTTTCACGGTGATATTAGTTAAAAATGTCACCCTGTTCACTTGTTCCCTTAATGACGCAAATTAAAGCAGAATGAGAGAGAAACACAGCGTCAATCCAAGAAGACAGAGACTGAATATGTTTGAGGTAAAAGTGACTCCTGGAGAACTTTTCTATGCACAAAGTGATCAAATAAAAAGACAAAAAGGCCACAATGCTCTAAGTTCATTTTCCTTGTCTTGCTATGTCATTTTTATAAAGTAAAACTGACAACATTTCTGTGCAGCAAAGTGATTGTGTAATTTATCATATTCCTAAAACAGAAACAATAATTCAGACAATGACATTTGTTTTCTTTTCTTGTATTGTTTGTCAGTCTGTTCCTGCAGCAGCAGGTCTAGACAAAAGATAAAAAAATCTCAAATTTTTGAAAAATCGCACCCCTCCTGCTTCACTTACATGAAACTCCCAAGCTGATATTGTTTTGATTGACATTCCTGAATGATCACTGTCTTCCTTGTTTCTTTCAGCGGGGAAATAAATCACACTAATGAATAAGGCTGCTAAAACA